CATTTTTAATACATCCTTGCTTGTTTATCTCTCTTCCACTGTCAGCCCCTTTGCCTAAAGCATCTAGAACCACATTCTAGAACCTAAAGCATCTATCAACCACATTCCATTTTTCTCCCCCTGAAGAAAAATCCCTTCTGATGTGATAACTTAAGTTGATTTGTTCCATTCCATTAAAAATGGAATTAGACTTACAATTACCTAGAGCTAGAGCTGGCAACCATCTGTTGGAGAGCATTCCACAAAATCAAGCTGAGATGCTTAAAAAGAAGAAAGAAAATGAAAATTGAAGAGATTTATGAGTGTTATTTTATTTTATTAAAATATTATTTATTTATTCATGAGAGACAGAGAGAGAGAGAGAGAGAGAGAGAGAGAGAGAGAGAGAGACAGGCAGAGGGAGAAGCAGGCTCCATTCAGGGAGCCCGATGTGGGACTCGATCATGGGACTCCAGGACCTGGGCTGAAGGCAGGCACTAAACTGCTGAGCCACCCAGGGATCCCCATGAGTGTTATTTTAAAGTTTATATGGGTAAGATCTATTCTCTCCTTAAAGAAAAATAGGTAAAAATATGAGTGAAAATTCACTGCAAAGGGAATAGGCATTAGATTTTCAACTAGTTAACAATTTTAGAAATGTAAGGTAGTAAGACATTCAAAGTTATGACCATTCACAGTCATTGGTTTATAAAATTTTGTATTTCCTTAAATAGGGCATTAGGAGATGAATCATTATAATAATAATCTCCATATAAAACAATAGAGGGGCACCTGGGTGGCACAGTCAGTTGAACATCTGACTCTTGGTCTCAGCTCAAGTCATGATTTCAGGATTGTAAATTCAAGCCCCTAGTCAGGCTCTGTGGTAAGTGGAGAGTCTACTTGAGGATTCAGTCCCTCTGCCCTTCCTCTGCCCCTCCTGTTCATGCTCTCTCTCTCCTACTCTCTTTCTCACACTCACTAAAATAAATAAATAACTTTTTAAAAAATTAAAACAAAATAAAAATAAAGCAATGGATAAGTTGATTGAATGCTGATGCAACAGGTCCGCTTGTCCTCACCCTTAGACACTCTTATTCTTTCCATTTATATATTAGAGAATTCAGGTAAACAGAGGTTAACATCACATGGCCCACAAATCTGCTTGACTTTAAAATCTAACTTACCCAATGTCAAAGCTGTCACAAATATCTAATATCAGAGTATCACATGTGTTGAAATTAATTTTCTATGCTTGAACAGTTTAAGTGTTTATTTTTCTCATGGAAAGAGTTGGCAATCAGCCTAGATCCACCCACATTCCTAAAATTGACTTGACAGAAGTGCCCTAAATTACAGTTTCTAAGTATATGTAATGTTCATGCAAATAACTAACTACCACTTACCTATCAGATCTCAGTATTCTTTAGTATTCATGGTTGCTAGTAGTATAGGACACCAGAAGGAATAAAAGTATAAATCTGAAAACATGCTGGGAAAACAAGGCTTTTTAGATTGGCAAACTATTTGCTTTCTTTTTTTATTCACCACTTACACAGCTATAAACCCTCTTTTTTTTTTTTCTTACCCTATGTGCATGAGTGGGGATATGAGATTGGGAAAGGAGGATTCAGGTCTAACACATCTGCAGAATGATCATTTGCTGAGTTTTATGTGGGTAAATGTGGGTTTTGTGTGACTAAGTGGAGAAATGGAATTTATTAGTATGAGTTAACTCTTTTCTAGAATGCTCTAGATTTTTCCATTTCTTCTGTGGCCTGGGTATGCATTGTGAATTTTAAAAAAGAAATGACATGGGCAGCCCGGGTAGCTCAGCAATTTAGCGACACCTTCAGGCCAGGGCCTGATCCTGGAGACCCGGAATCGAGTCCCATGTCAGGCTCCTTGCGTGCAGCCTGCTTCTCACTCTGCCTGTGTCTCTGCCTCTCTCTCTCTCTCTCTCATGAATAAATAAATAAAATCTTTTAAAAAATTTAAAAAAATAAATGACAACATTTGCCATGGTAAATTAATTTATATATTAGGTACCTATTAATTATTTTAGAATTGTTTTGCATTTAAAACAATGATCTGGCAAAACAAAACAGTAATTTGGCATATCTAAATAATACTCAGATGTTGAATTTCAGATACAATGCTTTTGAGGATTACCACTTGTAGAACAATTTGCTAGATTTCTTTTAGGGGTTCATAATATAGGCCATACTATTTCTGCTGATATTACTCTAAAATCTTACTAGCATGAAAATAACAAAATAACCACATAAAATGAGCACTCCCTTTCTGTGCTGGGCTCCTAAAACAGCCTTCACTTTCTGAAATAAGCTGTTTGTGCTCACTTCATTTTGCATCATTTTATTTTTGTCACCTGTGATGCTATCTCTGTGTACTATAATGGAATGATGCTGAATCAGACAAGCTATAGTTTTTATTGTAAGCATATCTCAAGGCAAATTTATAAGCTGAACTTTATCAGAAATGAAGTTAGAGGGAACATGCCTTTGTTCTAAGTTACAAAATGCTTCTGCTGTTCTGAATTTGAAGTATGCTGAAAATAAAATACTTTCTTCTCTGACATCAAGAATTTCACATTGGCAAAATATTAAGAATTCCTTTAAAATTTTTATTGTGTAGAAATTAGTTTCACTAACAAAAACTATGTGTATTATGATTCTATATTCAAGTTGTAAAGCTGATATTGAAGGTGATGTTATGCTGCAGAAACCTGATTATATTAATGATCCTAACATTTGATTTCAATTTTCTTTTCATGAAAAGCTAAGAAGGAGTGTTAATTTATTTAACAGTATTCTACTGGTATGACTACTTGGGCAAACAAGTTATATATTTAGGTATAGGCATACAAAAATTTTACCTCTTCATTATGAAATCACCACCACCAAATTGAAGGTTTCTGAAAGTTATAAGAGAGATTGATTGCTGAACTTTCTAAACAGCAAGTGGCCAACAATCCTTTCCTGGGAGGGTTTTTGATGAACTGTGACGTGGCCTTCCCCAGCGATAAGACCTTTTGGTTCTAGTAGGTGGAAGCTTCATACAACTACCTAGCATAGGCCTTTGTATTTTTAATATAGAACACATGAGGGCTGTTATTATAACCTGCATTGATAATAGCTCATTTCTTTTTCCCATGTTACTGCTTTAGAGCATCCTCCACTAAACAGTGGGAAATATGTTAAAATGTTAATATTTTGAATAGCTTCATTCCTACCACTGGAAACAGCAGTAAATGAGAAGTAAATTGTCACTGGAAACAAAACTCTTATTGCCATTCTGTTAACAAGATAATTATGGGATGTCCCAGGAGCAAATGCTCAGTTCCTCTAGTATGAGGTTGCACCCTAGCTACATGTAGCTTGTTTTTATTCCTGCTTTTGCCCTCAATTATTCTTCATACTGTCACCTTATCTTTTTATAAATGGTAGAATTAATTTAATAGTTGTAGAATATCCCGGCAAATTTTTCCTTGCAAATAGTAATTTTTAGATGCATCCTTTTATGCAGCAGGAGTACAGAACAAAAAGGAATTATCATGGTAGTTTTCATAGAGTAAATGATACACATCAACAACCTAAAACTCAATAAAATGTAGATTAAATTTTGCTGAAATTACCATTAGAAATTGGCACAAATCCTCCTTAGCAAACACAGCCCATAATTTATCGTTTGCAGTACAGTTTTGCACATGATGGAAAGTGGTGACCTGCAAGAGTATTCCCAATACTCTTGCCCAATGTTAGTGTTGTTTGCAAAGGCCCCCAGGAAATCATTAGCAAACTCCCATCTAGAAACAGATCAAAAGGTCAGAGGTATACATAACGTGAGATTCATGACCCATGGTTGTGGAGGGCTGTGAGTATTCTTGTTCAAAATATGGTATAGTGTTTCAAAACATATGCTGCCATTCTCAGAGGTTAGGAGTCTGAATATGGCAGCATCTAATTGTGAACACTATGCCAAAGACACACTTGTTCTTAAACCTCAGCCATTAGCATTGAGCATCTGCATAAACTCAAATGAGTTTCAGTAAAACAGTAATTGGTTCTCCAGGTTAGAAAGTATAGAGTGGCTCAGAAACTTAAATGTAAGGAAATTGACCACCAATTTAGAGGTGAATAACCTGGGACAAGTAGATACTATCTATAACTCAGAGATCGATGTGAAAATCCTGAGCATTATTCTGTAAAAGAGAAAGCTGAAAATAAATTCAGCTCTCGAGAAGCATGACTTTTATTCTATTTGAATACAAATAGAAATCTCTCTCTCCTTCTCTCTTTCACACACACACACAAACTTAAAGCAAATATAGCAAAAGAAATATAGAAATAAGAGGTGGCATCTTAGTATAGTAAAAATACTATAGCCTTTGAAGCCAGTCAGATCTACATTTGAATCTTATCTCATCCCTTGCTGACTGAGCCACAAAGCAAATCCTTTATACTCTCACCCAGAGTTTTCTCATCTATAAAATGGGTGAAATAGTTCTGAGAAATTAGGCATTGCTATGAGAATAAGGTACATCAGATGCTAGTGTGTATGTGGTAGCCACTTAGCTAAAGTGACTATCATAAATACTAATTTTTAAGTATACACTTGACCTCAAAACATATTTATACAAAATGTAATTATTTTATCAAAATATTTAAGCATTGCCACCTAAAAGAACATAGGCTTAAGGCTTATGACATATGGAATTTTTAAAAACTAAATGATTGTGATTATCTAGCAATTTAATTTAATTTGCTTTTGCTTTGATGGGTTTGCTAGGTTTAGTTTTGTGTTTGGTGTTTTTCACAGTGAAGGTTCACAAAAAGAAGCATTGCCTTGCCACTAGAAATTTTCATTTTTCTTTCAGTTATGATTTTGTCTTGACATCCATATTTATGGTATTACTCTCTGCTTCCTATAACTTTTTTTTTTTTTTAGTTGAAAATACTCAGTACACTTTCTTGTATCTTTCTTCTCTTCTAATGATGAAGATCTCTCCAGGACCTTTCCAAGCAAACAGACATCCCTTACGGCACAGTACTGGATTCTGCAGTATATGAACATGTTCGCATGAAGGGAATGAATCCTTTTGAAAGGGACAGCATGTATTCCCAAATGTGGCGGATGATCAACAGAAGCAATGGATCAGAGAATAACGTTCTGGAATCCCAAGCAGGCATTCAAAAGGTACTGGTCATTGTCCTTCATTCACAGTCTATTTAGCCTCCCAGATTGGAATTGCTACATTGAGATTAGTTTATTTCTTTTTCAAAATTTTTAACTTTGATGTACAGTTTGCAATTAAATTATACCTCCTATTGATTTAAAGAAGATTTTGAGTTGGCAGAGTGCTTATGGAGAGGGAATTCAAAGCCTTCTGTGCTGTGTCTAATAGATCGGTCTCCAGTGGAATAACAAAGCTTGAAAACATGAGCTAGTATTTTGTTCGGAATGGGTCAGGGACTTATGCACATGAAGACTAAACATTTGGAAAAAGGTTTTTACAAATCCTCTTCCAAGTATCATTAGGGTTATCCAATTCTTTCAAATTACTTGGGGTATTTTTTATACTGCATTTGTTTTTAAATGAAAACCTTATCTTTACTTATGTTTATGTGGTGGGTAAAAGTTAATCTTGTCAACAAAAAAGGTCCTGCAAATGTCTCTTTCTATTCTAAAAGTGAAAATCTTTTTTTTTCTATCTTATTTTAAATAACCATCATTTAGAAGTTATTTTACCAATAATAAAAAAAAGGCTTAGGGAGAAGTCTTTTGTGTAAAACATGAAGCTATTTTTTTTATTCTGGGCTGTGGTTTATAAACACATATACAGAAGTAATTCTTTCTTCCTCAAGCCCCATCAATCTGCATGAGAGAACTGAATGATTTTTGTTTAAAATTATCCCACTGGCTAGCACAGCGAAAATCACAATGGTTGACATTCAATAAATAATTGTGGGATGAATGAAGGAATGTCAATTACAGCAACAAAGGTGGTATACACTTTTTCTCTGTAACCTTCAGCAGCAGAATAATTTGGACCGCATGTCTGAGTTCCTTGTTCAGAGGGCAGACTTATTAATATGTTGAAGAATGTTTTGATGGCTATAAAAAATATTCTGACACAGGTTCTAACATTATTCTATGCCATTTCATATGATGTTCTTTATCTGCTGCTGCTATTATTATGGTTCCTTAGAGTAAGCATAGTTGACATCATTATTTTAAACACTGATAAGGCTGATATAAACCTCTTTCTAAGTCCTAATGATGCATTAGGATATGAATGTCCTTGAAATGTAAGCAATGTCCTCTAACTCCTTCACCCTTTTTTATATTAATCTAGGTGTCCTTGGACCCAAATATTGAGCCTAAAATCCACTGGGAGAATGGGTGGGTGAGAATGGGTGAGTGAGTGGACCTATATGTTGTCTGGAGAAGATGGAAGAATAGACATTTTAGGCTTTACTAGGTACTCACAGGACTTGAATAAATTTAAGCCTCAGAATAAGAGTACTTAAATGGTTTTTGGAAGAGTACTTTCCTTCATATAGTTGATTAAGAATTTTGTTTTGTTGACGCTAAATATAGTTTATATTTCTATTCCATTTTATAAGCCAAAGCTCTCCACACTTTATAAACTCTTTCTATACCATACCATTCCAGAGAAAATTCACTTTTTTTCCTCAAGCAGATATACAGTTTCTTAGAAAATATTTTAAAAAATATTCACTCATCCATAATTTGTTTATTCATTTTTTTCATACAATATTTGCTAAGTGCCGATTATGTATCAAACATTCATCTAGGAACTGTAGATAACTCCACCACAGAGAAATGAATAATCACTGGATCTGTGAAATATAGAGTCTGGTAAGAGAGATAGAAAAGAAAACTAAAATACATAATCAAACAAAATGGTTTAAATCATGATAAATGCTACAGAAAGAAAAAAAAAACTTTGGTGCTCTTATAGAAATTAAAGAAAACGTCTATTTAAAGAATAGTGATTAAATATGGTTCCCTGAGGAGATAAAATATTAGTGATGACCTGCCTGATCGGGAACTGTTCCTGTAGAAGAGAGGGTAACAGGGCATCCAAACAAAGCATAGCCTAGGCAAAAGCCTGAAGGTACATTCAAGAAACTAGTTTAAAAATCAATGTGAGGGAATCCCTGGGTGGCTCAGCAGTTAAGCGCCTGCCTTTGGCCCAGGGTGTGATCCTGGAGACCTGGGATCAAATCCCACCTCAGGCTCCCTGCATGGAGCCTGCTTCTCCCTCTACCCGTGTCTCTGCCTCTCTCTCTCTCTCTCTCTCTCTCTCTCTCTCTCTCTCTCTCTCTCTCTCTCTCCCCCCCTCCGTGTGTCTCTCATGAATAAATAAATAAAATCTTTGAAAAAAAAATAAAAAATAAAAATCAGTGTGAACTGGAACATGTCAAACGAGAGAAGGGAATAAGGTTAGTAGGCAGAGGATAGATCATGAAGTACCTTGTTGCCCTTTGAAAGGAATCTGGATTTTATTTGAATGGCAAAAAATGCTACTAAATTAAGCGAATGTTGTGATTCGTTATCACCTTTCAAAAAGGTCACTGTAGCTGATGTATAGGGATTGGTTAAGAGGATGCAGAGTGGAAATAGTGAGACCTTAAGAGACTCTTGTAAATTTCAGAGGTAGCCAGTCAAGTAGATACATGTAGACAAGGTCTTGCTTCATTCTTATGTTCTTACACACACACATTACACACACAGCCCATATACCTTACATTCTCTGTAGGTGCAAACTGAGTACACTTTCTATATCCTTGTATTTCCAAAGTAAAAAATAAATCCCAAGGGTATAGAATATCAAATGCCATGTAGAAGCTTTAAATAGTCATATATGTGTTAAGATATACATATATATCTTCCAAGGTCTTCAGTATTGTCTAAGAAAACCTCTCCTTTTCAAAGTATGTACATATAGTTTCCTACATTTTCTATTCCTGTTCTTTTTTACCTTAATGTCTTTTAACCATATAGAATATAATTTGACATTTGTGGTCATATAAAAAGAAATTATAAATATCCACACTAAGAAAATTTCAATCTGAGATTCTATGAAATAAAAGTGTTTTAGACTAGGCTATTGATAAGTTTGCATTATGTGCTAAGAAATTTAGTTAATTCTTCTGTAGCTTTTGTCATTTTTTTCTTTAAACATGTGGCTATTCCATCACCCTTCAACTTGGGTTAGTGTTTCTAGTGCTGTTATTAAATGTCATACATTTTTTAAAAAGTCTATTACGAAGAAGAGAAAGAACCCTGTTCTGAGAGAAAGGGGGCAAAAACCATCTGGTTTTCTCTTCTGGTTCTTCCAGTTCTTAGGTGTATAACTTTGGGCAAGTAACTTGTCTTCTTTAAGATTCACTCTACTCATCTGTAAACTTATCACAGTATGGGAATTAAAAGTCTGCAAAAGACATGTGTACCTGGGTTTGAATAGAGTTCATTTTTAAAACTAAAATGTGTAAATGTAACTAACTACTAAAAGTCTGTGGGACCCAGGATTTTTTTCATGTTGATAAGAATTCCTGCATCACATGTTTTTTATATGTATCAAATATATGTTATATTTATAATATAAATATATACATGTGGAAGCATCAATAAATAGTATGATTAGAGTCATAAACTCATAAGATGATCCTTTATATTACCTGAAAATGTGTAAATGTGAACACTTTGTAACTACAAAGCTTTATTATTCAGTATTTTCTAAGGTTAAGTTAAAATTTTAATATAATGAAAAGGATATTTAATAAAAAAAGAATAATTTCTATTCCTTGATAGTCTACTGATAAAGTGAACTCATAAGTTTAAAACTGCAAATCATGTCACCTAGTATTATACTTATTTAGTTTTCTAATTTACTAAAGTTTAAAACTGCAAATCATGTCACCTAGTATTATACTTATTTAGTTTACTAATTTACAAATCATGTCACCTAGTATTATACTTATTTAGTTTTCTAATTTACTAATTTACTAGGATAGTGAAGAATATCCTTATGACTTCATAATGGAAGATATCAAAGTGAAATTTGCTTGTTGTATATATTCTTTCAAACAAAATCAGACAGCTGAAAACTGATTAGATGGAAAAAATCAGTAGTAATAATAAAGTGTATTTTGTTTCTGTTTGCAAGGTTTTGGCCAGCTTCTATTAAAACACAAAACCAACCAACCAAAAACCAATAACCTTCTCACCTGCTAAAGCTCACTGGGAGTTTATAAGATTGAGAACTATAACACATGAAATGTAGTTGTGGATTCTTGCTTGAGCAACTAGTCTTGCACATCTCACACAGCAGCTTCCTCTTTCTGTCATTAGTTTCTAATTTGTTCAGGCAGAAAAGACCTTAGAGGTCTTCTAGGTCAACTTTCCACAAAGGCCAAACTTCTTCTACAGTGTCTTTGACAAGAGTTCATATATATAGTAACTGCCTTCCAGCAAAGCCTGCATCACTGTGCAAACAATCCTTACAATCTAATTATAACTTTAAACAGATACCATTAATGTCTCAGGTTGTGTTTGTTCTTAATTATGCTATACTAGTATCATTAAGTTTCTCTTACTTGAAGGTAGATCTTCATCCCTTCTAATATTGTTCTGTTCACCAAAGAAAGCTGTATAAATGAGATTAAGTAAATTAGTTCTGATCTGCTATTCTTGGGAGACATTGACCTGTATCAGACTAGCCTAATTAAACTAGGACAAATTTGATTCTCTTCCCAGAGCTTTTTGCAGATTTGCAGAGGTAGAAAAAAATGTATATGACAAATATAACAGAAAATTTTAGTGCATTCATTCAACAATCATTTATTAAGTACTCTCTATGTACCAGCCAGGATTCTGGTCGCTGAAGTGAACATAAATGAAAGCAAAATGCCTTCACAGAGTTCACATTCTAATGGAGGAAGCAGACAATAAATAAAATATGTTGTATTTCAGTAGTGATAAGTGTTAAAGACAAAAAGTAGGAGAGGTAGAAGGGGGACAGGAAGGAGATGGTCTGCCTTGTTAGATCAAATGACCAGGGAAGGCATAAGGAAATAACATTGGAATAAAGACATGAAGAAGATGGGGGAGAAAAAAAGAATTGTATATCTGGGTGACATGTTTTCAGACAAAGGGTTAGCCAAAGC